AAACATAACAAACTTTCTGGTGTCCTTGAAACCATAACAAACTTTCTGGTGTCCTTTAAAACATTACAAACTTTCTGGTGTCCTTTAAAACATAACAAACTTTCTGGTGTCCTTTAAAACATAACAAACTTTCTGCTGCCCTTTAAAACATAACAAACTTTCTGGTGTCCTTTAAAACATAACAAACTTTCTGGTGTCCTTGAAACCATAACAACCTTTCTGGTGTCCTTGAAACCATAACAAACTTTCTGGTGCCCTTTAAAACATAACAAACTTTCTGGTGTCCTTTAAAACATAACAAACTTTCTGGTGTCCTTTAAAACATAACAAACTTTCTGGTGTCCTTGAAACCATAACAAACTTTCTGGTGTCCTTTAAAACATAACAAACTTTCTGGTGTCCTTGAAACCATAACAAACTTTCTGGTGTCCTTGAAACCGTAACAAACTTTCTGGTGTCCTTTAAAACATAACAAACTTTCTGGTGTCCTTTAAAACATGACAAACTTTCTGGTGTCCTTGAAACCATAACTGTCCTTTAAAACATAACAAACTTTCTGGTGTCCTTGAAACCATAACAAACTTTCTGGTGTCCTTGAAACCATAACAAACTTTCTGGTGTCCTTTAAAACATAACAAACTTTCTGGTGTCCTTTAAACCATAACAAACTTTCTGGTGCCCTTTAAAACATAACAAACTTTCTGGTGTCCTTGAAACCATAACAAACTTTCTGGTGTCCTTGAAACCATAACAAACTTTCTGGTGTCCTTGAAACCATTACAAACTTTCTGATGTCCTTGAAACCGTAACAAACTTTCTGATGTCCTTGAAACCATAACAAACTTTCTGGTGTCCTTTAAAACATAACAAACTTTCTGGTGTCCTTGAAACCATAACAAACTTTCTGGTGTCCTTTAAAACATAACAAACTTTCTGGTGCCCTTTAAACCATAACAAACTTTCTGGTGTCCTTGAAACCATAACAAACTTTCTGGTGTCCTTGAAACCATAACAAACTTTCTGGTGTCCTTGAAACCATAACAAACTTTCTGGTGTCCTTGAAACCATTACAAACTTTCTGATGTCCTTGAAACCGTAACAAACTTTCTGATGTCCTTGAAACCATAACAAACTTTCTGGTGTCCTTTAAAACATAACAAACTTTCTGGTGTCCTTGAAACCATAACAATCTTTCTGGTGTCCTTGAAACAATAACAAACTTTCTGGTGTCCTTGAAACCATAACAAACTTTCTGGTGTCCTTTAAACCATAACAAACTGTCTGGTGTCCTTGAAACAATAACAAACTTTCTGGTGTCCTTGAAACAATAACAAACTTTCTGGTGTCCTTGAAACAATAACAAACTTTCTGGTGTCCTTGAAACAATAACAAACTTTCTGGTGTCCTTGAAACCATAACAAACTTTCTGGTGTCCTTGAAACAATAACAACCTTTCTGGTGTCCTTGAAACAATAACAAACTTTCTGGTGCCCTTTAAAACATAACAAACTTTCTGGTGTCCTTTAAAACATAACAAACTTTCTGGTGTCCTTGAAACCATAACAAACTTTCTGGTGTCCTTGAAACAATAACAAACTTTCTCGTGTCCTTGAAACCATAACAGACTTTCTGGTGTCCTTGAAACCGTAACAATTTTTCTGGTGTCCTTGAAACAATAACAAACTTTCTGGTGTCCTTTAAAACATAACAAACTTTCTGGTGTCCTTGAAACCGTAACAAACTTTCTGGTGTCCTTGAAACCGTAACAAACTTTCTGATGTCCTTGAAACCGTAACAAACTTTCTGGTGTCCTTGAAACCGGAACAAACTTTCTGGTGTCCTTGAAACCGGAACAAACTTTCTGATGTCCTTGAAACCGTTACAAACTTTCTGGTGTCCTTGAAACCGTAACAAACTTTCTGATGTCCTTGAAACCGTTACAAACTTTCTGGTGTCCTTGAAACCGTAACAAACTTTCTGGTGTCCTTAAAACCGTAACAAACTTTCTGATGTCCTTGAAACCATTACAAACTTTCTGGTGTCCTTGAAACCGTTACAAACTTTCTGGTGTCCTTGAAACCGTAACCAGCTTTCTGGTATCCTTGAAACCGTTACAAACTTTCTGGTGTCCTTGAAACCATAACAAACTTTCTGGTGTCCTTTAAAACATAACAAACTTTCTGGTGTCCTTGAAACCATAACAAACTTTCTGGTGTCCTTGAAACCATAACAAACTTTCTGGTGTCCTTGAAACCATAACAAACTTTCTGGTGTCCTTGAAACCATAACAAACTTTCTGGTGCCCTTTAAAACATAACAAACTTTCTGGTGCCCTTTAAACTATAACAAACTTTCTGGTGTCCTTGAAACCATAACAAACTTTCTGGTGTCCTTGAAACCATAACAAACTTTCTGGTGTCCTTGAAACCATAACAAACTTTCTGGTGTCTTTGAAACCATAACAAACTTACTGGTGTCCTTTAAAACATAACAAACTTTCTGTTGTCCTTTAAAACATAACAAACTTTCTGGTGTCCTTTAAAACATAACAAACTTTCTGGTGTCCTTTAAAACATAACAAACTTTCTGGTGTCCTTGAAACCATAACAAACTTTCTGGTGTCCTTTAAAACATTACAAACTTTCTGGTGTCCTTTAAAACATAACAAACTTTCTGGTGTCCTTTAAAACATAACAAACTTTCTGCTGCCCTTTAAAACATAACAAACTTTCTGGTGTCCTTTAAAACATAACAAACTTTCTGGTGTCCTTGAAACCATAACAACCTTTCTGGTGTCCTTGAAACCATAACAAACTTTCTGGTGCCCTTTAAAACATAACAAACTTCCTGGTGTCCTTTAAAACATAACAAACTTTCTGGTGTCCTTTAAAACATAACAAACGTTCTGGTGTCCTTTAAAACATAACAAACTTTCTGGTGTCCTTGAAACCATAACAAACTTTCTGGTGTCCTTTAAAACATAACAAACTTTCTGGTGTCCTTGAAACCATAACAAACTTTCTGGTGTCCTTGAAACCGTAACAAACTTTCTGGTGTCCTTTAAAACATAACAAACTTTCTGGTGTCCTTTAAAACATGACAAACTTTCTGGTGTCCTTGAAACCATAACTGTCCTTTAAAACATAACAAACTTTCTGGTGTCCTTGAAACCATAACAAACTTTCTGGTGTCCTTGAAACCATAACAAACTTTCTGGTGTCCTTTAAAACATAACAAACTTTCTGGTGTCCTTTAAACCATAACAAACTTTCTGGTGCCCTTTAAAACATAACAAACTTTCTGGTGTCCTTGAAACCATAACAAACTTTCTGGTGTCCTTGAAACCATAACAAACTTTCTGGTGTCCTTGAAACCATTACAAACTTTCTGATGTCCTTGAAACCGTAACAAACTTTCTGATGTCCTTGAAACCATAACAAACTTTCTGGTGTCCTTTAAAACATAACAAACTTTCTGGTGTCCTTGAAACCATAACAAACTTTCTGGTGTCCTTGAAACAATAACAAACTTTCTGGTGTCCTTGAAACCATAACAAACTTTCTGGTGTCCTTTAAACCATAACAAACTTTCTGGTGTCCTTGAAACCGTAACCAGCTTTCTGGTATCCTTGAAACCGTTACAAACTTTCTGGTGTCCTTGAAACCGTAACCAGCCTTCTGGTGTCCTTGAAATAAATAATGTAACTGAATTAAAACGTCTGCACTAGTACTGTGTCCAACATGTGCGTCCCTGTGTCAGACCGCGCCTTCCTCCTCCCTCCCCTTCGCTAATGTCATACTTTGATCCCCTTCAATGTTGAATGTATCGAGCAGTCGACTCGAGACAAAATGGTTGTTAGATCTCATCCGGTTGCGCACGCTGAAGACAAAAAGTTGGAAGACATTGAGTTGTAATGTTGTTTGATTTTTTTTCCTTTATCTAATGAAACTCTTCTTTGAAAGTCATTTGTATGATAATCATTCAGACGTACCTACCAATGGCTAGTAGCTGGATACAAGTAGATTCCTAGATTATTTAATGTCCGCACTCCCACAATTCAGTATTCAGTGGTCAATCATATTCAAATCGGAGGATTAGCCACAATCGTACCCACCGTAAAACTCTCTTTAGTTCAGTATGTACTTTCTCCTGACCACATGTTACGCCACTGACCACTGTCGCGCCGCCATGTAACTGACCATACCGTCTCAAACGGTACTCAGAATTTCATTGTGTGCTTTCTACTGACCACACGCTACGCCCACTGACCACTGCCGCTAGTTCATTCAACTGACCCTAACGTCTCATATCCAAACGTTCGTTGTATACTCTCTACCGACCACGTGTTGCGCCCACTGACCATTCTCGCCTGTTCATCTCACTGACCATAACGTCTCACGCCTGAATGTCCACCTCCTCAGGGACAGCAAGATCGCCCAGCTGCTGAGAGACTCACTGGGAAACCTGTCGTGCCGCACGTGCATGATTGCCCACGTGTCTTCGGCCGTGCCTCATTACAACGAGACCCTCCAGGTCATCCAACTGGCTGCACGCATCCACAGGATGAAGCGACGTCGAACAAAGGTGATGACCCCCCCCCCCAACCCCCTTATTTTGTGTTAGTTATTGTCTTGTTATTGTGTTATCTACTTTTATGTACTTTTTGTATTGGCAGAATTGCTTTGAAAAATGACGCACGGGAATCGAAAATATTTTAACAGCCTTGTAAAAACTGCATGGCGGCCTTTAACTTGAAAAAAATAATAATAAAGAAAGATTTCTACCGATACATTACAGAGGAATGTCATCAAGATCTTAATTATGTGATGCATACTATCTGCCTTAATTCAAAGTAATAGTTCTTTGCTACAACTGAATAGGCCTATTTCTAAAAATTGATTATTGGTGCAAATAAAGTTATTCGGTTATGAATGCACCTATTGAGTTATGAATGCACCTATATTTTATCTCTATTTCTTTCCTCCAGTTTTCGAGCACAAGTTCCGAGGACAGCTCCACAGACGGAGATGTTAAATTCAGACGCCCTTATCGCGGCCTCCGCATGGGCACCCTGAGGGAAGATGTGCTGTACTCGTCCTCACACTCTGACCCGGACTACACGTCCAGCAGCGAGCAGTCGTGCGACACTGTCATTTACATCGGCGCCAACGGCCAGTCTTTAAGTGACAGGGAACTGACCGACAACGAGGGCCCGCCCAGACACGTTCCAAGAACTAATCCCCGTCTTCCAAGAAGACCCAGCGGGTCGAGGTCATCGGGAGATGACTCTGACAGTGGTCGAAGTGTTCACTCTGTCAGAAGTTTGGAGTCCAGACTCCCTCTGAGAGCTTTGATGTCCCCGCCACCAGGTGTCAGCATGGGTTCAGGGAAGCTCACCCAGTCCGTGCCGGGGTCCCCGAATCCGGGACTGGTAAAAATGGGTCACCGAATGGCCATGCACAGTAAAATGAATTCCGACGGCAGGACTGCCGACGGCGGTCAGCCTAGTGGAGTTTGGCAAGACAAGACGAAAATTCATTGTCACAGTTCTCAGAGCAAGCTGGCTAAAGCTATTCACGAGAAGCAGCAGCCCCTGGAAGGCGAGCAATGGATTGATGGCCCGGGTGCAGCCATCTATCCAGAGCCAAGTGCAAATGAAATGTGGGTGGATGGACCGCAAGCTTTCGTCGTTCAGCAGCAGCCCCAGTCAGTTTTGTCATCGTCCCCATCATCAAGAGGGGATGTGCAACATCATGGTCGGGGTGAAACAACGCACCATCATCATCACCGGTCAGAGGCGGCGTCCCGTCGGGTGGCATCCAAAAAGGTTGACGCTGAAGAACAATGGGTTGATGGGCCCAAGGAGATGCTCGCGGGCAGCAACCCATCTCAACCAATGCACACTTGCAGCAAATCTGAGCAGCCCGCCGCCAAGGCCGTTTATCCACCTAAAACCTGCATGTCTACAGGGGTCAGTGAAAAGGCACTGAAACAGGCCCTTGCAAAACATATAATGGAGGTCAAGGACAGACCGGAGAGTACAATCAGTGTGGATAGTGATTCTTCCCTAGTTGTAGTACCGGCAGAGTCACGTCCGGTAAGCTTCAATAGCAGCGATGAGCAGTGTAGTGGCTCACAGCCCAAAAATGACATCTCTGATGGGCCCAGCAGGGCAGATCTTAAACAAGACGCATCTTCAAGCCCCATGGTCTCTAGCAAAAAACAAAAACTCTCAGATAACAAAAAACCAAACTCGTCCAAACAGTCCCCGACATCATCTCCCAGTCCTTCGCCAGCCTTGACCAGGAAATGCAACAAAGTGGAATCTTCTCTGGGGTTGAGGTTACAGAAATCTCAGCTTCCCGGCTCGTCCAGTCCAACACACAGGGTGGTCCAGTGGATTAAATCTGTGTCCACTGATCAACCAGGCCCCGAGGCCGGGGGCCATGCCATCAACATTCTAATGGCAGACGCCGAGACGAACACCGAGCACGATTCGGACTTTGAGAGGATGGCCGAGGAGAATGGGGTCAGGTCAGACAGTGATGAAGGGATGGAGGCAGTGCCCGTGAGCAGGGAACACATTATTGACAGCAAGTGCAATATGACAGCGGACACTAGTCTGAACAGCAGTTTTGATACGTCAATGATAAACCGTGAATCTATTTATGAAATGGAGGTGGACGAGCATTTGGAGCTTATGAAAACAAAAGACGGCTCACGTCTGGCAGCGGACGTCGATAATGAAACTTTCAGCAGCTTGTCGTGCAGCAATCACGATGACGTTGAAAGGGAACAGCACATGGCCGAATCCGAGTCCCTTCTGGTCCAGCACACCAAAGCGTTGACGGAATCCAAACAGACTGCTCAGCTTAATCGACACGTAGCAAGAGGTTTTCTCAAAAGGGACGGGTCGCCGGCAGATTCTGACGGTGAGAATGACACCTTAGAAGTTACGCGGCCCTTGCTGAGCCGAAAGCCCGACGGAGCCTCAAACCCTAATCTTATGAAAACATTTTTCGAGGAAGATATTTTAGTTAAAGGACAGTACAGCAGCTTACCGGGTACATCGCTGGAGGCCATGTTTGTCCGGTCCAATCACAATGACTCTGCTATTGAATATCCAACTACCTCATCAAAGTCTTGCCGGGAGGAGCCCGAGGAGGACGACTCATTTTGTGATACGACCAGTGTGCACTCTTTAATAGAAAAATCCTCCTCGCCCAAGCTGGGCTCGAAAAGTAAACCTCCGCTTCCGAACAAGCAGTCGCCCGTGCTGAAACAGAGTGGACTTCCTAAAGCTTGTCCCAACACATCCTCCAGCCCATCTCGATCCATCTACTGCATGGCTAAACCCAGCCCCTCCAGCAAGGAGGCATCTGCAGCCCAACAGAAAGCAGCACAAGGCGGGAAAATCTCATCGGTGCCCGTGGTCAGCCCCAGTATGAGAAGTAAGTTTTCTCGCTCAGAAAAGGCCAGTACGTCATCGTCGGGGACGTCTCCTGTCTCATCAGCAACATCCAGCCCCCTCGTCTCAACAACATCAAAATCATCATCGTCATCCCCGGCTCAAAAGACAGGCAGCAAATCACTCGGCGGTTCCTCCAGCAAACTGCCTTCGTTTAACTCATCCAGGACTTCCTCGCCGTCGACAAAGGATGGGAAGTCTAGAAAGAAGGACAAAGAGAAGGAGACAAAGGGGGGTGCACGTACCAAACTTTCTGAGCTGGTCCACAGGGGCAAGGGAAATGACTCTGACAGCGGCAATGATAGTGGGATAGTCACCAATGAAAAGAAGCTTCTCTCCCCTTATGCTACCGTAACAAAGCCAAGAACCCCGAGTCACTCCAGCAGCGGGCATGGCAGTGATAACAGGTAAAACAGTTTTTCATAGTCTCAGGGGGAAGACAATCCATTCTTAGTGCCCTTGAATGTTATATATACTTAAGTGTGTTGATATATTATTTTATATATTTTATTTTATTCAACCATTATTTGTTTTGGTCATTGAGAAAAATAATTATTTAAACATACTGATTTTAATGCAGAAATCATCAAAACCTTTTAAACGTAATCTAATCAATTGTGTTATGTTCTATTACAATTAAATTACATTAAAGCCTTCAGTTTACGTTAATTAAGGGGCTAAACTTAAAAAGGATATCAATATCTAATCCTAAAGAAGATTATGTATTTTAACAAATGTATCAAAAGCTAGACATGAAAGCCTGCATATTACTTGATTAGAGGATAATTATTCTTAAGACCAATGTGCATGTTATAGTAATATTGCTTTTAAATAAATTTACTGCAAGAAAGTCTGGACATGAGCCTCACTACGATTATGGTAGGCTAACTATCAACGGCTTTAACTTTGATTATGAGAAATGAGTAAAACAAAGTTAAGTCAAACCTGAAAAAAGGACGCAACAAAACAACAAACGTGTCGGCAGGAAGCCTTTGTCAGTGAACAAACGACAGGAAAAAAAAATAATAAAATAAAAAACTTCACTGAGAAAACGCTGAGAATTAGTATCTGAGAGGGCGCCAAAGAATTGTGACAGAAAATAAGTGGGTGAGAGATTAAATAGGGAAAAGGAAAAGAAAGAGGAGAAGTAAGTCCACTGCGATTGTTCGTGACATGGAGGGGCGGTGCAAAGGCTCAAACTATGAATAAAGAAATGACTTTTATGCCATGTGGTGTCAAAACTCCACAGGAACTTTGATTATGGTAGGCTAACTATCAACAGCTTTAACTAAAACAAATTATCTAAAATACATTCATTTTTAGGACTGTTAATTCAACGTATACATGAATTTTGTATGGTAATTAAAGCTTTTTTTTTTTAAAGTTTTAATAGGCCATAAAAAATAAAAAGCAGGGAGGGGGGGGGGTTAATTTGTCATATTTAATCTTCTACCTGTGATAACTTATATAATTCCCTATATCTTTCTGGTAGAATTTTTTTTTTATTAATCCACTCTAGTTTAGTTATGGAAAAAGTAATTAAACTTTGTGCAAATGCAATGCAAATTATATTTTTTATTCAAGTTTTGTTGAAAGGAATCCCTATTTTTAAAAAAAACAAAAAAAGCTAAGGTTTTATTTTATTTTGGTTTTGTGGTAGATAAAGTTTGACACAAATATATGCATCAATTAAATTTTGTGATGTTAGATTCTCATACAACCAACAGGCATCACACTAGCACATACCGGTATGATAGATTCTCATACATCCAGCACAAGGCATCACACTAGCACATATAATAAAATTATGATTTTTTTTATCTGTTATTTACCAAGATTATTTTAACCCTGTTACTTGTATCCCTATATATTACTGTCCAATCTAAACATGTATGTCAAAGAAGTTATCCCTATATAAGATAAGATAAAATTCTTTTATTGATCCAAATAAATGTAAATTAGCTTTTATTACATTGTGCATATTCATTTTCAGCACATAAATAAATACATATTTTTAACCAAGGCAACATTTTACACTTATAATACTTTAGATATAAGGCTTCTAAAGTTAGATCTTAGGTTTCCGTAATGAATTGGGTGGGATGCATTGGGATGCATTGGGATGCATTGGGATGCATCATCCGTTTTTTTTTTTTAAATTTTTACAACAGCATTTTTTTCAAATATTCTTTTAAGTGATGGATGTTTAGTTATGTGTGATATTACTAGTGTTCTTGATATTATACTAATCTAATACAGGTAACGTCAAAGGATTTATCCCTATATAATACTTTCCAATCTAAAACTGGTATGTCAAAGAAACAGACACATAATCAGTTTTTATTTATGCATAAACTTTTAATTAACATTGTTTTCTTCTAAAGCACTATCAGCACTGAGGTCCATCCTGGCCACTCTCGACCATGTGCCAAGGCTGAGAATCTTCATGGAGGCACCAGCAGCGGATATGAGAGTATGCTGAGGGACAGTGAGGCAACATGTTCATCTTCAGGACACGAGGATAGTGGAAGTGAGTCATCGTCTGAATGCAAGAAGGGATCAAAGCGCAAAGGTATCAGACACTAGTGGCATAACATTGTGTTTCAATGTCAATCTGCATGGATCAGATGTGTCACTTTGCTCTTGTTGCTTTTTCTCAAGAGAGATGAATTCAGTCCTGAACCAATCACATAAACTTGTCAGAGGAGAATCTATGGATTCTGCCTGGAATAACTGCTAAAAGTCTGACAAATTAATGAAATTGGGTTATCTTTTCTTGCATTATGATTGTTGTATGTGAAACATTTTCCTTAATTTTTAAATATACATAAATATTGTTTTTAAATTCCTGCAAACAATATTATCCATGATAACTTTACTACCAATGGAGGATAATGAGTATAATTTGTGGAAATTGTTATTTTAACTATAGTCTTGTTGATAAATGTTAAAATTGAAGTATAAAATATAATCTTAAATGTTCCAGGCACGCGTAGAAGTCGATCTGCACCTGCTCACTCAACAGAAAGTTCTCCAGCATCAAGTCAGCCCAGCCAAACAGGCAGTCGGTCAGCCGGACCCGCCCCCAGAGCATGGGTGGACACAAGACACCTGCATAAGGTCAAGGATGAGCCTCTTGAATTAAAACGATATGACCCTGATGAGGTGGAGAGACTTGGCAGAAGACGAACGGATGAGGAGGTAGAGTCATATACAAATCTAAGTTTCTTTGTATTTACAATGAAGGGACTACGTATTCTAAAATGTATGATTTCAGGAGCACTACATGTTCATTACATCAGAATATAACAAATTCTAGCTAGATTAGTTAAACCCAAGAAAAATTTTCACAGTTGATTTCAATGCCATGATAATGTCTCTTTTGATAATATTTTTATGTACAGCGCGGTGAGCCCAGCCCTAGGCTGGGGTACTGCACTATAAAAGACCACTAATTATTATTATTATTTGTACACACTATTTTCTTCAATTTCGTTTGTATTTTGGGGTTTTTACTATTTTTAATATTTGCTGTGTTTTCATGATAGATTTTTTGTCTATGTATATTTCTAAAACTAAGACCATCGGTGAACGCTCCTTCTGCTTCCATGGGCCCACGTTCTGGAACCAGCTCCCCTTCCATATACGTCATAGTGAAAACTCGTCCAGTTTCAAAAAGTCCCTTAAAACTCATCTGTTTAGGTCCGCCTATGACCTGTGATGCACCCTCCTTGCCCTACCTCATTTTCTGTTTCGGGTTGATCCTGAAGTGTCAAAGTGTCCTCGTTTTATAGCCATTTTCATTGTTTCTATAGAATAGTAGTTACTATCCTAGTGTCTCATTTTTATTTTACTTAGTTTACATGTTTTAATAATTGTAAAGCGCTTAGAGCTTTATGATAAGCGCTATATAAATAGAATAGTAGTTACTATCCTAGTGTCTCATTTTTATTTTACTTAGTTTACATGTTTTAATAATTGTAAAGCGCTTAGAGCTTTATGATAAGCGCTATATAAAAATGCCTAAATAAATAAATAAATAAATATTTCGCAGTTAACATTTTCACTATTATTGCTCTCTCTGATTTTTAATCTCAAGACCCTGTATTCAAATGTTTCAATTTTGTTTTTCCATCCTAGGTTTCTGCTTGCACTGAAGGCAAACAGAAAAATACAAGCTCAAAGGGAGATGACGACGGCGGCGACGGCAGCGAGTCAAAAGATAGGATCATGATGGAAAGAAATGGCTGGTCTTTCGATTGCAAGCTTTTTATGTGCTTCTCCTGCAAGTCCAGGCAAAGGGGAACGGATGTTTAGTGATTGAAAAAAAATCTATTCAAATTGTCAAATAAGAGGATATTTTGCATCTTCAGGCACATACGGCTGATAATTGATGAATATTCTGTCACGTCTAATTAAAGAAATTCATTTTCTGACTTTCCTATAAAAAAATTCTGGCCCAAACAGATATACATTTACCGCTACCTGTGGCCCAGGCAGATATACATTGACCGCTATCTGTCAGTTATGAAATAGCTTAAAATTGCTTTTTAAAAAGTTATTAATAATGCATTACATATTACAATACCCTGGCATATGTTATTAGGCATATTGTCAATGAAGAAATTAGGAATTAACTTAGTCTTGAACATGGATCTGTACAAAATTGTACATAATTTTGTTACGGTAAAGAGGGTTGAGCTACAAGGCAACATATATTAGATAAATGTCAGCTTCATTAACTAATTTGCTTGAAGATGTATTTACAACGCACTGACAAAGTTTTATATTAAAACTTGATTTCTATAAATAATAATTAATATCATTTAAAAAAAGTAAACATCTTACTTTAATCCTATGCAAAACAACGCACATTCATTTCATTTGGATACCATTTCTCATAGTAAATTTCCATTAGTCTCACTAACAGATTAATTCAAAATCACAGTTTTGTTAAAATTCATCTAGGAACATAAAAATGAGTCTTAGAAATTTCAGTAATATCAATGAGATTCATAACTCCTTGACCAAAGACCTATCTAATATGCCTTAACAGCAATGGGAGTATCGTTCATAAGTCACAGAACACTCAATGTGATTTGAAAACATTTTATTATGCAAATTTAGCCCATATACCTGTATAAAAGAAATCTATAACTGCTGTTTTCTGTTGTTCTATTTATGCAGTGTGTTGCTTGCACTGGGTTCGTTTTCTCCTGTTTTGAATTGTTGAATGTGAACATTTTATTTGTAAATTAAATGGGAACATAAAGTGTAGTTGATTGAGAAATAAGCCTTGTTCGGCTTTAGAGTTGATAGAACCCATGCAAGCCTTTTTGAAACAATTTTTCCCTCCTTCTAAAGCTCAATGATATACATGAAACTTCAAACAATTAAAAGAAAATTATTTGACATTAAATATAAGTTGTTGCTGTTCTCAAGACTTTATCTTTGTAATAAATATTGTGTTTCTTTCTTCTTTTAAAAGAATTGACGTTTTAAAATGTATTTCATCTTTCTATTTGGTCTTAAACTTATTTTATTTTTCTATGAAGACTCTTTAGGGGTAGAATAATTACATTACACATAAAAGAATTAAATTTACTGCTCCGGTGAAAATGTGAAGAAGATGATCTTGTTTTTTGTTTTGACAAAAATCATTACTTTGAGATGTAACTAATTTATGTCAAGTTTAATTTTTTAAATCTAATGTCTAATACAAACAACTAATATAATAATACACTTCCATATATAGACTTTACTTAGGATGGTTTTTTTTACTTAAACATTTTGGTATTTCATTTGGTAAAAAAATACACATTTTGTCAAGTTAAAATAACTTAATCTAAGAAGTGAATATATTATAACATTGTTGCAATATATTTTTAACTAAAATAACAGTAGTGGAAAAAAATTCATAATTTTGTTTCATTTTAAATATTTTGTATATTTTAACAGCTAGAATGGCCATAGGGTCGATACTTTGAAAAATATTTGACTACTAGAACAACTGTAGGATCCATACTAAAATTTTATATTGGGAAGTTCACTGGTAGCTTGATAGTTTCTCAAGACTAGAAAGAAATGAATCAATAATTGAAGTTAGGATTATTCGACAATTAAAATTTAGTAATTTATTAACTTTTGTTAATTGGAGGAATCCATAAATAAACTAACCTTATTTAAAAATAAAATTAACTTGGTCCTCATTTCAAAAAATTTTATTCATTGAACTCAATAACAAAATCAATATTTTTTTTTAATTAACAAACAATGGGTTTAGCACAAAATGTTATTTTAGGTCTGTTCGGATTGATAAAATAAATTTCTGACTTTGATGTATCATTTCCCTTTTTACAACTTAAAGAATTATTTTATAATCATGTATGAATATACCATAAAATTAAAGCAGGAAATGTTCTCTTTCAATAACATGGTCACACTTTTAATCATAGATTAATCAATTTAGTTTGATTCAATGTTGAAAGCAGTTAAATTCTAATAAATCAAACTCAATTAAAAATTATTGTTGATTTTATAGTCAATTATTTATATCAAGTTCATTCAAATCCATTCAGCATTTGTCTCAAACTCAGTTTCAACATTAATAAGAAGCTAATTAATGTAATGCCACCATGATAATGGTAATAAATTATAGATTTTATCACATAAACAATTTTATTTTTTTTAATTTATGATATCGTGACCATTATCTAACAGATATTGAAACAAAAAGCTCTTTTCTGCATAAAAAAAGCTATTTTCTGCATTTCTATTCTTGCCACTAGAATTATTCAAGACTAGTACTGTGTTGTCCTTCGAGTGAAAAATGTATGCAATCTTATAAATGGTGTTGTGCCAATCTTACAACTATGTGGCAGTGGCTTGGTTGTTTTGTTTTCGTTCATTTTTTTTAATTATTAACTCCATTTTCATATGAGCAAGAAAGTTGTACATACCATCTTTTTTAAATAAAAGAAAAAAGTGTATATAAAAGAAATGCAATACTGTCAGAAGATCCATTATAAGTTTTACATATTTATATGCTCGGATGATCTGTTAGTTTGTATTTTTGTTAGAACTTGGTCTTCCCTATATTTTCTGTATTGGTTATGAAGTTGTATTACTTGTGTTATACTATTGGAAACCTATTTAATTACTATACAAACGGAGAGACAGAGTTTAGTTTGTCTGCCATGCTTTATCATGTAAAGCTGTATCTAATAGTATGTGGGTTTGGTCTCTTATTTTTATATGCAAAGAAAGTTAGAATCATTTAATGTAAATATTGTATACCACCAAATTTACTGGGGAAGAGGATATTATTATTTTTTTTATTTTTTTTTATTGTTTGCGTACACTATTTTTTTCCTTTACCATAACTTCATTTTTTATTTTAAAACAAGAAAGAGAAAATAAACCCAAATAAGAATGTGTAGAATTTTTATAGTTTTTTGTAAATGTCAAGAACTAGGATTAGGAAGGTGAAGATGGGAGGAGTTCCATCCCTTGCTGCAAATTTTCTTCCTAGATATTTTTTGGCAATCTGCAGAGTTTTTTTGTGGGTGGGGGTGGCAAATATCTTGGCCCACCTCAAGCGTAGCTACACCTCTGATGCCAGGCTTCATTGTGGGTGATTTTAATTTTGCCTGAGCAAAGATTTCAGTACAGTTACCTATAGAATTATTTCAGTTTAATTTTATTTTCACATTGTAGAATGTATTTGTATATATCTTCAAATGTATACTTAGTTACCCATATGTATATAAATACGACAGAGGATTCAAAAGTTTCACACATTGGCCCCTGTTAATGTAATGCCCGCAATGAACTTTTTAAATTTTTTCAGACGGCACCAAAGCTGATATATAATTTGAAGTTTATTTATATATGTCATCAGTGGATACACTCAGTACTAAATGGAGTTTGGGAATAATGAAATATATGCTTGGAGAATTCAGTAATTTTTAATTATCACCTTCTGTGGTTTTATATGGTCTGCATTAAGGTCCATCTCTTGATTATTTTTTTTTTGAGGCCCCCTGCCACTTCTCGGGTTTTGTGCCTCCTGCAATAAAAGCTGATAGTTTGGTTTTTTTCCTAGATCACGACTTTAGGCCCCTTAATATTTGAAGCTGCCTGCAGCCGCCATAAGGATGGCATTAACCATGTGACAGCTCTGCCATGCCCATGTGACAGCTCTGCCATGCCCATGTGACAGCTCTGCCATGCCTATTTGACAGCTCTGCCATGCCCCATGTGACAGCTCTGCCATGCCCCATGTGACAGCTCTGCATAGTATCCACTGATACTCTAATGCTAAAAGTAAATTGAGAACCATAGCAGCCCTCCTACTTTCTAGCAGTTGGTACCCACTTCCTTTTGTCAAGATTTATAATTGAGATTATATTGAATGTAAATGGGGGGAAAAGGAGAAGATGCAATTGACATTCTGAAAATAAAACTGTGCAATTTATAGCCTTATGTTGTTGTTGTTTTTTTATGGATATGTGTCTGTGTACTGTGTAGTGTTTACTATGTAGTGTGTTATGTCAGGTGAAATATACAAGACACAACAAAAAATGCTGAGGATTTTGTCCCCCCAAGGGCTTGTTAAGTCTATAGATAGGCTATAGATAGATTCTGATAGGCTTTAGATAGATTCTGATAGGCTATAGATCAGTGGTTTCCAACCTTCCTAATGCTACGACCCTTTAATACCATTCCTCAAAATTACTTTCGCTGCTACTTCAAACTGTAGATTTTATTTTTTTTCTCCAATGGTTTTAGGGGACCCCTGGGAAAGGGTCGCTCGAACCCCATAGGGGTCGCGACCTAGATATTGAGAACCCCTGCTATAGATAGACTTTGATAGCTTAATAGGCTATATAGATTGGGCTTTACCACACACAATGCTACTCACCTTTCACCACACACTCAAATACACATCGCACCCTCACCATACACACTGCTCTGACAGCAGCCAACATGGCAAATTGCTATCAAAAGTTAGATTATTTTCAAAATAACAAAATTCCCTAAAGAAGCAAGCAGTGGACAAAATGCCACACGGGGCGAACTTCCCAAAGTTCACCCTCAACACACCTCGTTGATACAATGTTATAAAGGCCAACATACAAACTCCTGGTAAGTATGTCAACCGGTCCGTTGACCCTTTGCATAACATCCAGGTCGCCACTGGAAGCATGAATAATGGTGTATACTAAATAAATGACAAATTACTAAAACTGCACTAAAAATTCAGATTATTTTAGTTTGTTTCGCCGTCTAGGCCGAGTTACAAGAGGAAGGCCCCGCCCTTAGCCCCAACTTATGGGTTGTTCTAACAATGCACACCAAGATGACGATCTTATATCCCTTTTATAAAATAAAATTCTCGATGTTGTT